TTACCCATGAAACACCGCCGGCAACCCCGTCACGACGACAAAAAAGAAAAAAAAAAAAAAAAAAAAAAAAACGACGACCATAACCACATAAAAGTCGTGATACTTCCAGACCGAACCACAAACTCTGACCTCACACTGCACCCGTCTCCCTCTCAGTAGCTTCTGGAGGTTGATGACGGCCAACTCCATCTCCTCCTCTTCCTGAACCAGAACCAGAAGTCAGACTTAGTCACAGAGGAGACAGAGGAGAGGGAGTGACAACACACGGCAGCTACACACAACAAGGTCGCCTGACCTCTGGAGGCTCCTCCACTCTGGGTGTAGGCGGGCGAGGAGCAGGCTTCTCCTTCTGAGTCCTGGGATGTGACGGTGATGATGATGATGATGTCACAGCCCGGAGGAAGAGGAACCTCCTCCAGGAAGTTAGTGAAGAAATCAAAATATTTTATCTATACTAGTGGAGAACCAAACCGAACTGAACTGAACCAAACCGAACTGAACTGAACCAAACTGAACTGAACTGAACCAAACTGAACTGAACTAAACTGAACTGAAAACTGAACTGAACTGAACCAAACCAAACTGGACTGAACCGAACTGAACTGAACTGAACTGAACTGAACCGAACTGGTTCACTTCTCTATAGATTCCAAATGTCGATCAATGTATACATACAGTACATACATATATATATGTATATAATTTAATGAATAATTTAAACAACTGCGTCTTTTCACCATTTTCTTCCCTGATATTTCAGCTAAAACCAAAGAATTCCTCCACTCACGTCGATGAATGAACAGTTATTGTGTCGTCTGTGAGTCCGTGTCCTGTCGTCTCTCTGTTCTCCGGCCTGTTATGGTCCAGCAGTGAAGACACAGCACTCCAGTGTTCTCAGCTTCAGAAGTGGGCTGGAGCATCACCACACAATTATATATATGTTCCACTTCAGCTCTCTCTGTGTGTGTGTGTGTGTGGGGGGGGGGGGGGGGGGGGGGGGGGTCCCATAGACATTGTTTGAGTGATTCACTCGGCTAGAATCAACAGACCTACGTAGGCTTGAAGGTCCACCAGGTGTCCCCAAACACTTGGTTCTCCTCAAGGTTTGTCATTAAAAAAACACTTATTTACCTTTTAATACTTAGATATGTCCATTTCTGTGGTTAAAATATACATTTTTCGTACGCTGACTTTGATCACAGTAAAATCTTACACTAATAATTTCCTGAAAAATTCTTCAAAAATAAATTTGCCGTACCCCTCCGGTCCCACGCCCCTTACTTTAGTGTTCCTGGTCAAATTTGACTGGTCGGTTTTAACGGCTCTTAAACGAACGCACCAACCATCAGTCACAGTCTTCAGCTGTGAACGGTGCCTCAGACTAGTGGTTAACATGAAGAACTACACTCAAAACACAGAAAGGCTCTGAAAATGTACAACGAAACAAATGTAACGTAAAAAACGTGTGTGTGTGTGTGTATTTTTGATGACACGTTGATCGTCTCAGACTGAAACTGAAAAGAGAGAGAGAGAAAAAAAACATGAATTTCACTGAATCTGAAACTGAACATACATTGTAGTTGTTTACGAGAGCATCGGAGAACGTTACGTGAGAACTTGTCGGAGAACAAGCCCGTGATACAGCGCGCTGGACGACTTCCAGGGTCATGTGATGCAGAGCAGCAGGAAAAACAGGAATGTTCTGGTCGTGGCGGCGGCCGGCTGCACGTGTGGGCGGCAGAACGATGGTACGAGGAGTGAACGCCTCCCTGACGCTGAGCGGGGTATTCCTCACGTTCCCGGGGATTTGTTGTATTGACCAATCAGCACTCAGACTGGAACTGTTTGGGTCTGAATGGTGTGTGGTGCCGTGACAGAAGTGAAGACAAAACCTGCAGGAGGTTTGTCTTCACTTTGACATTTCAATCTGGTCGTTTGTTACAGCTGGAAAAAAAAATATATATATATACACACATATATATGTATATATGTGTGTATATATATATCTATTAGTAAGTTGATGTGAGGAGGGAACCTGACAGTTTCCTGACTGTTTCCTGACTGAGTCATCACAGCTGTCTTATGTAACCACAGCCAGTTTGCCACACCCCACACTCATTCACACACCGCTCCGGTCGGGCGGCTCCATTGATGGCAGAGAGAGAGAGAGAGAGAGAGGTGGAGAGAGAGGGAGAGCTGGACTCACCCTGCTGTGGGTGAGTGCAGCAGATGCAGCTCAGGGTTTATAAATACCACAGCAGTAGACCAGTCTGAACTGGAAAAAAAAACATCATCATAGTAACAACTAATCTGACAGATGTACTGCAGTACAGCTGCAGTCAAGTACCAGGAACTGATTTGTTCCTCAAGGCTGACTTAGAGATGATGGGGGGTCAGGGGTCGGGGGGTGGAGGGGAGGATGGTGGCGTCTGGTATCATCACCAATGAAAAAGAGGATTAGACGTCGTTTTTGTCTGGTTAAAAATTCGTCAAATTCAGGTTGATATTATTTAGATTTAACCACGTGGTCTCTTTAATGACCCTGTTGGATCTGTTCATTATATATTTGTGAACATATATAAAAACACAGAACATACTTTTGTATGTTTGTATACTGCCATCCAGTGGCCGCAGTATTAATTGCATATAACCGCTGACTGAAGTTCAGATCTTTTCCCATTGAAAGAGATATTTTCACAAACTGTGAAAGGTTTGTGTTTTGTGCTGTTATTGGGATCTTATTTAAATAAAGTGTATTTATTAAGACTTTTAAAAAGCCATAAATAACAAAAATATATTTTTAAATAGATCAATAAATCCCCCTGCATGTCGAGAGCTTTTGAAATGAGAATAATTTTAGTTGTGGTTATCAGACATTGTTCTGACCTGTGACGTCAGCGCCTCCCTGCTCTGGACTCTGGAACTGTTCTGTCTCTGTGGTTCCACAGGGTTCTTTATATGGACAAAGGAATCTGATTGTCCGCTGCTCAGGGTCCGTCCAGATCCCCTAACATGGGCACTAACATGATTAGACATAAATAGCTCCTGTGCCGATGGACCATGTAACCAAATACTTACATGGTAACCACGTGCACAGTCCACATGCCACAGACAGGAGCCGCAATAAAAAAAAAAACTAAAAAAAATTTAAAATTACGCAGAGCAACAGACGACGGAGGCAGCAGTGGCGGAGGTCAGAGGTCAGAACAAGCAGCCATGACAGAACACCAGGAAGGAGAGGGTAGAGTTCTAGTTCCAGTTCTAATATGATTCAAACAGAACAGCGCCACATAGTGGACACAGTGGTTAGTGCTTGTTCTTTACAGAAGGAAAATCAATCAAAACAAAAAGAAAAACTGTTTTTTTGGCAAAAACACCTTGTTTATTACAGAGCGCTTCGCAGGTATAAGTATCATGAAAAAAAGGGGGGAAATTAAAAGTCCTGAGTGTGTCTTAAAAATACAGAATTGTACACAATATCTACTTCATAACAAGTACAGTTCAAAGACTCACGTACGTCGATGGTCTTTAGTCTACTTGACGACCCGTGGACGGGATCGCTTTTCTGCACAAATGAATGTTCTCAGTGAGAAGATCTGTAAACTGTGTTGCAGTATTATTATGGTACTGTCATAGTATATGTAGAAAATACAAGTCAGTTTCAAACATTTACACACAGTCAGTACAATCTGTATTTACAACGATGCAAGAACGTGTGGCAGAAAAACAGAGAAATGTTCAGATGAAGCATTTGACAAAATCTTGCAAAGTTGTTGTGTGGATTTCTGATTGGCCTCCAGTGTCGGCCTCCGCTTTGTCACGTGACCACAGTGAGAGGAATAACAAAAAAAAAAAACATGGACCTGGATCTTCTCTCACTGTCTCTCAGGTTTACTCTACTCCTTTCATGAACTCCAAGAATTCTGGGAAACCGAGGAGCAGACAGTTTAGAGGCGGCCGCAGTAACGTGTTACTACCTGTAACCAGTTCAGAGCAGTACTGGCTCTGGTACTGACTCTGGTACTGATTCTGGTACTGACTCTGGTACTGACTCTGGTACTCACCATCGTAGTCGATTTTGCCGTCGTTGTTCTTGTCTCCGTCCTTCATCAGCTCCTCGATGTCGTCCTCGGTGATGGTCTCTCCTGTGGACTCCAGCATCATCTTCAACTCCTCCAGGTCGATGTAACCGTCGGTGTTTCTGCACAATCACAACAAGAGAAGAGTTTTACTGGTTGTCAACGACAGGAGCGAGATGGTCGTTAACAAAAGTGTAACGAGAAAGTTAGAGATGTGGCCACGGTCACAGAGAACAGAGAACCCAGACACAGTCACCTGCAGGAAAATATGAGGTTACTGTACTGCACCGTACTGTATCGTATCGCACGATATTTTACTAGTATCGTACCCTGTTATATTGTATGGTACTGATTGTCGGGGGGGGTGGAAGGGAGGAGGCGCGGGGGACAGAATGAGTCCTCCTCCCACGGTTTGGTTGTCTGAAATATTCCTAGCTGTCAAAAGGGATTACAGAGGAAACCACACAGGGCCTTCAGTGGAGCGAACCTCCTTCACCACTGAGGTGGGTCTGAGGTCGGTCCGTCGAAGGTCCGTCCTCAGGGTTCACCTTCCTGTTGACCGTAACTCTGGTCAACTCCTGCTGTGGTAAATATGTCAAGAAAAAAAAGTCCAACTCTGAGTTTGAGTTTAGGACCAACTCACTTGTCAAACATGCGAAAAAGTTCGGCCAGTTCCTCCTCCGACTTCCCTTTGCTGTCGTCCTTCATACACCTGACCATCATGACCAGGAACTCGTCGAAGTCCACTGTGCCACTGCCTGTACACACACACACACAGAGTGAAGGACTTCATCAGGTCAATATAAAATATTCAGTAAATCTCAATAAATATCCTTGGAGTGAACCTGAACAGATCAGAGGAAACGAAGAGAAACTTTAGAGTTTCTGTTCTTTCAGAGTCAGATGAAAACCTTTTCTCCTCCTGACACTGAGATTCTGTTTGTATCTCATCAACTTCATGACAGGGAAAACTGCACATGATTTGATGTGCGTTTCCCCATAATGCAACTGGACACATCTGCCTGTAATTGAGGACCTTGACCATCACTGGACATTAAGTTCAGAGGCTTCGATCTGACAATGTAGTGATCGTCGTCTCCATCATCATCATCATCATCATCGTCATCATCGTCATCATCATCATCATCATCATCATCGTC